TCCCCAATTACGAATCAGTTCAGTTCATTTCAGTCACTCAGTTGTGTCCGACTCTTTGTGACCCCATGAATTGCAGCACGCCAGGCCTCCCTGTCCATCCCAAAGTCCTGGAGTTTACTCAAACTCATGCCCATCGAGTCGGTGATGCCATCCAGCCATCTCATCCTCTGTTGTCCCCTTCTCCTCCTGCCCTCAATCCCTCCCAGCATCAGGGTCTTTTCCAATGAGTCAACACTTCGCATGAGGTGGCCAAAGTACTGGATTGTCAACTTCAGCATCAGTCCTTCCAATGAACACCCAGGACTGATCTCCTTCAGGATAGACTGGTTGGATCTCCTTGCAGTCCAAGGGACTCTCAAGAGTCTTCTCCAACACCATAGTTCAAAACCATCAATTTTTTGGTGCTTAGCTTTCCTCACAGTCCAACTCTCACATCCATACTTGACCACTGGAAAAACCATAGCCTTGAGTAGATGGACCTTTGTTGGCAAAGTAATGTCTCTGCTTTTTAATATGCTATCTAGGTTGGTCATAACTTTCCTTCCAAGGAGTAAGCGTCTTTTAATTTCATGGCTGCAGTCACAATCTTCAGTGATTTTGGAGTCCCCCAAAATAAAGTCTGACTCTGTTTCCACTGTCTCCCCATCTATTTCCCATGAGGTGATGGGACCAGATGCCATGATCTTAGTTTTCTGAATGTTGAGCTTTAAACCAACTTTTTCACTCTCCTCTTTCTCTTTCATCAAGAGGCTTTTTAGTTCCTCTTCACTCTCTGCCATAAGGGTGGTGTCATCTGCATATCTGAGGTTATTGATATTTCTCCCGGCAATCTTGATTCCAGCTTGAGCTTCTTCCAGCCCAGCGTTTCTCATGATGTACTCTGCATAGAAGTTAAATAAGCAGGGTGACAATATACAGCCTTGACGTACTCCTTTTCCTATTTGGAGCCAATCTGTTGTTCCATGTATAGTTCTGTTGCTTCCTGACTTGCATACAGGTTTCTCAAGAGACAGGTCAGGTGGTCTGGTATTCCCATCTCCTTCAGAATTTTCCACAGTTTATTGTGATCCACACAGTCAAAGTCTTTGGCATAGTCAATAAAACAGAAATAGATGTTTTTCTGGAACTCTCTTGTTTTTTCAATCATCCAACAGATATTGGCTATTTGATTTCTGGTTCCTCTGCCTTTTCTAAAACCAGCTTGAACATCTGGAAGTTCTAAGTTCACGTATTGCTGAAGCCTGGCTTGGAGAATTTTGAGCATTACCTTACTAGAGTGTGAGATGAGTGCAATTCTGCGGTAGTTTGAGCATTCTTTGGGACTGGAATGAAAACTGACCTTTTCCAGTCCTGTGGCCACTGCTGAGTTTTCCAAATTTTCTGGCATATTGAGTGCAGCACTTTCACAGCATCATCTTTCAGGATTTGAAATAGCTCGACTGGAATTCCATCACATCCACTAGCTTTGTTCGTAGTGATGCTTTCTAAGGCCCACTTGACTTCACATTCCAGGATGTCTGGCTCTAGGTCAGTGATCACACCATTGTGATTATCTGGGTCGTGAAGATCTTTTTTGTACAGTTCTTCTGTGTATTCTTGCCACCTCTTCTTAATATCTTCTGCTTCTGTTAGGTCCATACCATTTCTGTCCTTTATTGAACCCATTTTTGCATGAAATATTTCCTTGGTATCTCTAATTTTCTTGAAGAGACCTCTAGTCTTTCCCATTCTGTTGTTTTCCTCTATTTCTTTGCATTGATCGCTGAGGAAGGCTTTCTTATCTCCCCTGGCTATTCTTTTGAACTCTGCATTCAAATGGGAATATCTTTCCTTTTCTCCTTTGCTTTTCACTTCTCTTCATTTCACAGCTATTTGTAAGGCCTCCTCATACAACCATTTTGCCTTTTTGCATTTCTTTTCCATGGGGATGGTCTTGGTCCCTGTCTCCTGTACAATGTCATGAACCTCCGTCCATAGTTCATCAGGCTCTCTGTCTATCAGATCTAGTCCCTTAAATCTATTTCTCACTTCCACAGTATTGTCATAAGGGATTTGATTTAGGTCATACCTGAATGGTCTAGTGGCTATCCCTACTTTCTTCAGTTTAAGTCTGAATTTGGCAATAAGGAGTTCATGATCTGAGCCACAGTCAGCTCCCGTTCTTATTTTTGCTGACTGTATAGAGTGTCTCCATCTTTGGCTGCAAAGAATATAATCAATCTGATTTCATTATTGACCATCTGGTGATGTCCATGTGTAGAGTCTTCTCTTGTGTGGTTGGAAGAGGATGTTTGCTATGACCAGTGCGTTCTCTTGTCAACACTCTATTAGCCTTTGCCCCTCTTCATTCCGTACTCCAAGGCCAAATTTGCCTGTTACTCCAGGTGTAATAGAACATCTTTATTTGATGTTAGTTCTAGTTGGTCTTCTAGGTCTTCATAGATATGATCAACTTTAGCTTCTTCAGCATTGGTGGTAGGGGCGTAAACTTGAATTACTGTGATGTTGAGTGGCTTGCCTTGGAAAGGAACTGAGGTCATTCTTTTGTTTTTTGAGGTTGCACCCAAGTACTGCATTTCAGATTCGTTTGTTGATTATGAGGCTACTCCATTTTTTCTTTGGGATTCTTGCCCGAAATAGTAGATATAATGGTCATCTGAATTAAATTTGCCCATTCCTGTCCATTTTAGTTCACTGATTCCTAAGATGTTGATGTTTTTTCTTAGCATCTGCTGTTTGACCACATCCAATTTACCTGCATTCATGAACCTAGCATTCCAGGTTCCTACGCAATACTGTTCTTTGTAACATCGGATTTTACTTTCATCATCAGACACACCCACAACTGAGCATTATTTCTGCTTTGGCCCAGCTACTTCATTCTTTCTGGGGCTTAGTAACTGTCCTCTGCCCTTCCCCTTTAACATATTGGACACCTTCAGACCTGGGAGACTCATCTTTTGGTGTCATATTCTTTTGTCTTTTTATACAGTTCATGAAGTTCTCATGGCAAGTATACTGGAGTGGTTTGCCATTCCCTCCTCCAGTAGATCATGGTTTGTCAGAATTCCCCACTATGATCCATCCATCTAGGGTGGCCCTGCATGACATGGCCCATAGCTTCATTGAGTTATGGAAGCTCCTTTGCCATGACAAGGCAGTGATCTGTGAATGGACTGAAGTCCTTAAGAGAATCAATTTATACATTTGTAAAATAAGTCAAATATTATCAAAAGTCACTAAAAAGGTTTGTTAAAAGTTTCTTGATTTGTAAATAGACCAACATGACTTGTAAGCTGAACTGGCCTTAAGGCTGACCAAGGTTTTTAACTTGCTTTTAATAAACTGAATATTAATTCTTAAAAACAATATAGCCTATGAATGATTTTCTATGCACTAAAACCATCTTTAGGGAAATAAATGGTAATGGGGGAGTCTTATTGATTGGAAAGTAGTTTGCTAAGATCACAGGGCTAGCAAGCAGCAGAGGCAGGACTCATATCATAAAGTTTCCCACCTATCCCACCTCACCCAATCCCCAGGCTAAGTCATCCACATCACTTTATTTTTCTATTGATGTGGCTTTCTTTCCCACTGGCCTATGAGCAACATGCTTACAGAGACTTCTTTTCATCTTTGAATCAGCAGTCTTAGTGCAATGCTTTGAAAAAATGAGTGAGGAGAATCCAGTGAGAGTAGCATCCTGGAGCACCCCCAAGAGAGGGTTTCAAGCAGGGAGGGTGGCAATATCGAATTCCACCAAGCAGTCACATAAGATAAGGGCCAAAGGTTCTATAGAATGTGACCAATGGGAGACCACTTGTGACCTTCTTAAAAACAGCATGGATTCTCTTCAAGTCTTGTCAGGACATATAGCCACCATACACTGACTACTAGGGAGATGCTTGTCAAAATTTGAGAAGTAAGGGAGCCAACGGAGGACACTAGTCAAATCACATCCTCACGGAGATGTCAGCAGAGTTTGCATAGCCTCACAAAGCCATCAGGACTCTTAGGTGTGGAGAGGAGGGGAGGGATCTCTACACCTGCCCCAGTTCTACCTTTTCCCTCCATCCACCCATGGATCAGGACTTTTAAGACAACTCCCTCAATCATACCACCAACAGGCCAAGAGAGCAAGATAATATCTGGTAGTCCTTCGTGGTTGGAGGTAGAGGTGGGCCTAAAAGTCTTTTCTCCTGGATCCTTCCAGCCTTCTTTGTGTGCTAAAGAAGGTACAGTATGTAGGAACTAAATTCATATTATATGCTGATACTGAGCTAGTCACTAGGAACTAAAGGATGAAAAAGGTAGACCCTACCTTCAAGGAGCTGAGAGTATACTGGGGAAAGAATATTCAAGTAAGCAGACTTTTATGGTAAGCAAGGTGGATATAACCATAGAGGTGAACAGGAGGAAACTGAGAGGCCCTGGAGAGGGCACCTGTTCTAGCCTGGGGTTTCAGGGAAGTCTTTCCTGAGGTGGGCACAACTTTAATGGGGGAATGGGAGGGTGTTGGAGAAAGGTGAGCTAGGTGGCAGGGACTAGGGTAGTGCAGTAAACCAAGTTGCAGCAACCATTTCCAGCAGTAAGAAATCATGTGGGGGAGTCCTAGATGGTAGACTTGGAGATGGAACATGAGACCAAGCTCAAGACGGGAAGCCAGCAGATCCTGAAGGATTTTGTCCTCCAGGACTGTGACCTTAATTAGACTTTAGCATATAAAGGGTGGGGGACCTTGGAAGGTTTAAAGCAAGGCTGAGACATTGTCAGCTTTGGCTTTAAAACAGCTCACTCTGCTACTTCTCATGCTTCTTTCTTTCACGTCCGTTTATTTTTACATCCTGTGACTCAAAAGCTACATGTGATTAAAGTGAGCTCTAAAAACAGGAAATGAAAAAATAAAATAAAATAAATAAAAACGGGAAGTGTCTGTGGGCTGACATTTACATGCACAGGGCCCATTGGCCGTCCTGAGGCGGGCCAGTCTGCTGAATAGGATGGGTATTTTTCTCCTGTGGTCCTTGTTCCTCCTTGGTCTTCTCACTGGTGAGTCTGTCCCTGCCACTACCTCCCAGGCACCTCTACTTCCTTGCACATTGGGTTTCTCTAGCAATAGGTCATTTTCACTGAAGATGTTGCTTTACTGGGAGCCAGACTGTGTGTATGTGCTTGTGTATGTGTTTGGAGGGGGGGAACTAGTGTGTGTGAGGTGTGTCTATATCATCTCAGATCATGCAAATTCTGATTGTGTCTTGTCACTCTCACACTGCTACTGAGTCACAGGGAGCCTGGACGTCCCCAGACAGACTGAAGCTGGGGACTTGAGATAGAGAATCTGCCACAGTCAGTTCCGGGACCTTGTCTGCATCTTGCCATCTCAAGCATGATCGTCTCATGCCTCTCTTCCCTTCTGCCCCTGTGAGTCACCTTCATTGTGAATTGGGCTTTCCTGTCCCACAAATGACATCAGTAGGTGATCTCAAACATAGCACCTTGTGACAGGTCCTGTCCTTCTGAGTTCTTACTGCTCCTTCCCCTGCCCCCAAGGACCTGAGTGCTGGCAGAAGACAGACTGGGGAACTGGAGGCCAGGGAAACAGATCTCCTGAGAAACCTACTGTGAGGGGCCAGGTTCTACTCTTAGTCATCTGAGTTTCAGTCTTTCGCTTTCATCCTTCTTCAGGAGGAAAGCAGCTTGCTTAGTTATCGGGGTCACCTGGCTTCAGGGTGGCTCCCACCCTAGCCTTTAGTCTGTGCCCTAAGCCTGCCATAGAATCCCTTAGAGGTGTTTAAAACTTGGAAGTTTATAAAGAACTTTTACTCAAATTTAAAATAGTCTGATTCTCCCAACAATCTTGTGGTATAGATAAGGCAGAGAGTATTAAGCTCACTTTACAGAAGATGAACTGGGACATGAGGTGACACCTTCTGGCACACAGCTGGTGATCTGTGAGAATGAAAGTCAGTGCACCTGTGGGAATGCAGAAGCAACAAGGAAACTCAGAACCATACTGTCTCCAACCAAATTCACAGAATTGAAACTCAGACAACGGATTCCTGTCAGGTTCCCCTTGCCGCCACTTTCCTGTCCTCCCACAGAGTAAATGAATGAATGAGCTTCCCTTCCTCCATGGTGTCCAGGTCAGGCCCTTGGAGATCATTGTCCATGGGGGCATCTTTTGGGCACATGACAAAGAAATGGGTGAGACAGATCTTGCCTTAAAAAAGAAATGTTCACATTTCTTGGGTTCAGTTCCAGAAATATCTATTGAGGCCTCTCGTGTGCTGGTCCTGTGCTGTGTGTGATGGGATAGAGGTGAATGGTACACAGTGGGGAATGAGGTGGGGTACAGTCCTGCTGTTGGCAGCACAGGGTAGTTGACAGAGCTTTGGGGGCAGGCGAACTTGGGTTTCATGTGGACTCTGCTGCTTCTAATAGCCAGTGACTCTGGGCAAGTAGGCTTTTTAAGCTCTTTGAGTTTCATGGCCTTCATCTGTGAAGTGGGAATAAGAACATGGACCTTACTAGACTGTTGTAAAGGTTAAATAAAGTAATGTGCTTAATGCACTTGGCACAGTGTCTGGCACCGAAGATTCATGTCCTGAGCTGTTCCCTTTCTGTCTCTTTCCCTCACTTGAATCCAGATACAGGATTCAGAAAAGGAAGCTCTGCACACATCCCACTGCACCTAACCACTCGGCTAAACCATCAGCCTTACTCTAATGTTCAGATAACTAATTCCCTTCTACCTTCTCCTCTCCTTGGGGAACTCATGAGCTATGGGGAAAGACAAACAGCACAGCTACTTGTGTGAAGCAGAATGAAGTAAGCCAACAAACAAGCCAACAAAAAGCACAGTTCATTTCAGTTCAGTCGCTCAGTCATGTCCGACTCTTTCTGATCCCATGAACCACAGCACGCTAGGCCTCCCTGTCCATCACCAACCCCCAGGGCCTGCTCAAACTCATGTCCATTGAGTCAGTGATGCCATCCAGCCATCTCATCCTCTGTCGTCCCCTTCTCCTCCCACCTTCAATCTTTCCCAGCATTAGGGTCTTTTCCAATGAGTCAGTTCTTCACATCAGGTGGCCTAAATATTGGAGTTTCAGCTTTAGCATCAGTCCTTCCAATGAACACCCATGACTGATCTCCCTTAGGATGGACTGGTTGAATCTCCTTGCAGTCCAAGGGACTCTCAAGAGTCTTCTCCAACACCACAGTTCAAAAGCATCAATTCTTTGGTGCTCAGCTTTCTTTACAGTCCAATTCTCACATCCATACATGTCTACTGAAAAAACCATAGTTTTGACTAGATGGACCTTTGTTGGCAAAGTAATGTCTCTGCTTTCTCACCTGCTGTCTAGGTTGGTCATAGTGTTTCTTCCAAGGAGCAAGCGTCTTTTAATTTCATGGCTTCAGTCACCCTCTGCAGTGCTTTTGGAGCCCAAGAAAATAAAGCGTCACTATTTCCATTCCCCCCCCATCTATTTGCCATGAAGTGATGGGACTGGATGCCATGATCTTAGTTTTTTGAATGTTGAGTTTTTAGCCAGTTTTTCCACACTCTTCTTCACTTTCAACAAGAGGCTCTTTAGTTTTTATTTGTTTTCTGCCATAAGGGTGGTGTCATCTGTGTGTCTGGGGTTATTGATATTTTTCCCGGAATTCTTGATTCCAGCTTGTGCTTCATCCAGCCTGGCATTTCACATGATGTACTCTGCATATAAGTTAAATAAGTAGGGTGACAATATACAGCCTTTCCCAATTTGGAACCAGCCTGTTGTTCCATGTCCAGTTCTAACTGTTGCTTCTTGACCTGCATACAGATTTTTCAAGAGGCAGATCAGGTGGTCTGGTATTCCTATCTCTTGAAGAATTTTCCACAGTTTATTGTGATACACACAGTCAAAGGCTTTAGTGTAGTTAATAAAGCAGAAGTAGATATTTTCCTGGAATTCACTAGCTTTTTTGATCAGCCAGTGGATGTTGGCAATTTGATCTCTGGTTCCTCTGCCTTTTCTAAATCCAGCTTGAACTTCTGGAAGTTCTCGGTTCATGTACTATTGAAGGCTGGCTTGGAGAAATTTGAGCATTACTTTGCTAACATGTGAAATGAGTGCAATTGTGTTGTAGTTTGAACATTCTTTGGCATTGCCTTTCTTTGGGATTGGACTGAAAACTGACCTTTTCCAGTCCTGTGGTCACTGCTGAGTTTTACAAATTTGCTGGCATATTGAGTGAAGCACTTTAACAGCATCATCTTTTAGGATTTGAAATAGCTCAGCTGGAATTCTATCACCTCCACTAGCTTTGTTCCTAGTGATGCTTCCATAGGCTGAAGGCAACTGGGAGGAAGGCATGGCTGGACTAGAAGTATGGAGCTCAGCTAAGGCCCCAGAAAGGAAGCAGCACTTGAACTAAGCTTAAGGAATCATGGTACTCAAGGGTGAGCATAGCTCCTTGATCAAGGGTGGAATTCTTCCAGGCTGGACTGAAGGTTCTGGGCCAACTTGGGACAGGAAGACCCATCTGGTGTCAGCACTCCCTTGGCATGCTTCCAGTCAACTTGCACATTCCTTCAAATGGAACCAGAAGAGCTGCATGGGAAGAAGGAGCACCAGGTTATAGGGTGGATTCTGTGGTGGGCACCTAGGACACTGCATGTCCCCCAGTGTGGAGTGCCCACTCTCACAGCACAGCAAGATCTCTCCTACTCCTCATCACCACAGCTACTGTCACAGGACTTCTCAGTTCAACCTTCAGCACAAAAACCTCACCACATGATTCAGAATCAGTGATGCAGCCAGTACTTCTGGATTCCAGTTTGAATCAGGACCTGCATCCCTCACTGGGCCAGGCATCGTTTTCTCTTTAAACAGCTATGCAGCAGACCTGAGTCAGTTTCAGACTTTCTGCCTCCTGGGACTGCATGTCAGTATTATAAAAATAGAGATGGGTTGCACTACTTAGAGGGGGTTCTTTTTAAAATATATATATATATATTTCTCTATAAGAGTGCTAACTAGTTTTGGTGAGGATGCAAAAAGATGAAGGCACCAACTTACTTCAGTGACATTGAAAGAGTGAGTGAGTGTTAGTTGCTCAGTTGTGCCTGACTCTTTTCGACCCCACGGACTATAGACCGCTGCGTTTCTCTGCCCAGGGAATTCTCTAGGCAAGAATAGTTGAACTCAGGTAGTCTGACTAGTGCCCTGGAGTTACACTCTTCTCTCAAGTGCATTATAGGCTGGTATCCAAATGTTTGTCCCTCTCACCATGCTTAATGTGGGCTGGTCCGCACAACACTAGCCCTCCTGCTCTAGAAAGATATGTCCCCAGATTCTCACTGTGCCTGAGAGGAGCTGGCTTTTGTCTCAGAAGTGGCCAAATAAGCAATTATGGGGGATGCTGCAAGGCAATTCTTGCCTGGATGCAACTGGGCTGGGTGAGTTCTGTTCCTTTTCCCTGAATTGGCAAGAGATGGACTCACAGAAACAGTAGAGATTATCCACCTCCCTCCCCCAACACCAGGGCCTCTCCCAAGGATTTTGCTTATTCTCCAGGACACTTAGTACCTGCAACCTTTAGGACAGCCTTCATTGATTATTTCCTTATATGTTAATTAATTAATATAAATGTGGAAGGAAACCACTGTGGTGTGGTGGTGGTTGTTTTTCAGTCACTGCCATATCTGACTCCTTGTGACCCCAAGGACTGCAGCACACCAGGCTTCCCTGTCTTCTACTACCTCCCAGAATTTGCTCAAACTCATGTCTGTTGAGTTGGTGATGGACTCTCTCATCCTCTTACATCCCCTTCTCCTTTTGCGCTCAATCCTTCCCACCATCAGGGTCTTTTCCAATGAGCTGGCTCTTTGCATCAGGTGGCCAAAGTATTGGAGCTTCAGCTTCTGCATCAATCTCTCTTGAGTTTGAGTTCTGTCTATAACTAGCAATGTCTTGAGCAAGGCACCTAAATTCTGTGGGTCTCTGTTTTCTCACCTATAAAATAGGAATACTGATCATGACCCTGACTCTCCCTCAGGCCTGTTGTGAGCCTTCAATGTAACAGGCTGTTCTCTGTCTGCAGGACCAGGGGCTTCCAGAGCCCCCATGGTGGTAACTGGGACCCTGGGGGGCTCTGTCACTCTGCCCCTGAAGCTGCAGGATGGACAGCAGGTGGAGAGCATCTCCTGGGTATGTCGCTCGGTCCCTGGGGCAATAGCCACGGTGACCTTGGTAGAAGCTGGAGGACCATACACCTTTCACCAGGCAGAATCACGGTACTGGGGTCGTTTGAGTGTGGTGGGCCCAGAACGCTCCCTGCAGATCAGCCACCTGAGTTGGGCAGATGCGGGGTCCTACCGAGTCCACGTTAATCTTTGGAGCTCCCGCGCCACCCACACCAGGGAGTACAGCCTGCATGTCTATGGTGAGTATCTGGGGCATGGCAACAGGGGTGTGTGTGTGTGTGTGTGGAGCCTGTCTTTCAGTCACTTTTATAGACTTTCCCACTTCCCTTTTAGAAACAATTATAATTTTCTTTCTAATAATGAGACTAACATGTGCTTAACTGAGAAAAACATGGAAAGTAGAGTTGCCTGGGAGAATATCCTAAAAAATGTTGATGGCTGGGATGTGTCCCAGACCAACAGAAGTAGAATCCCTGCATTTGGGCAGAGAATGGGATTTCTGCCACAACTGACTTGTGATGTCTCGAGCTTCCTCCTTACTAAAATAGAACATTACCTTTTGTGAGAATAAAACTCATGGCAAAGAGCTTTGTAAAGCTCTGTGCAGATGTAGGAGAACACTACTATCATATTCCTCAAGGAAATGTCAGTGATTGTCTTAGCAGGGGAAACTACAAAAGAGACTGTTGGGCGGGGGTGCCAGGCACACACAGCAGCAATATTGGCCAGTGGAGACACAGTCAGGTACTTTTAGATTTAGCCTGCTTATGTAGAGAGGGAGAGGGACCGAAGGTCTCAGATCCCTGGGTCCTCATCCCATAACCCAGGAAGGATGACACTGAGGCTAAAGGGGCCAGATGACCATAATGGGAGTTGCTGAGAAGCCAATTCTAGACTGCAGAGAAGTTTCATAGTCAGCAGCTCTGTTCTGCGGGGATGGAGCAGAAAGCCTGGGACCTCAAGACAAAAATAGTCTCATGACAGCCTCCCAGGAGGAACAAGTGGGAGGCCCGTGGGAGATGGTTTCAAGGAAATGCCTCACAGGCCACCCACCTCTCATGTTCTGGGAGGATCACAAGGCCTTTGCAAGACTTGGATTAGCTGTGATTCCAGTCTTTGCCTGAGTTACAAGGTTGCCGTGGATGGCAAGTTCACCAGGCAAGGTCACCATGATGCCGTGGCCAGAAGGTACCAATGAAAAGTAAGGATGGACACAGGAAGATGAGTGATTGCGGGAAAGTGGAGAACCTTCTTATACAATTTCCTGGGTTATGGAACAGAGAATATTCCTATTATTAATAGATGAATTTTTTATTTTATTTTATTTTTTTATTTTTATTAGTTGGAGGCTAATTACTTTACAATATTTCAGTGGGTTTTGTCATACATTGACATGAATCAGCCATGGAGTTACATGTATTCCCCATCCCGATCCCCCCTCCCACCTCCCTCTCTACCCGTTCCTCTGGGTCTTCCCAGTGCACCAGGCCCGAGCACTTGTCTCATGCATCCCACCTGGGCTGGTGATCTGTTTGTTTGTTTTTTTAAACTTGGGTTGACAGAATTGCCCTGGTCAGGTTCACATGATTGGGGTGAAGGCATTTCTGTCATAAATTGGCTTGGAATGACTGTGGCCCATTCCTCAGACAGAGCAAGGAAACACTGGGTGGAGGGCTGTTGGGACCTGGGGTAGGGCTGTTCACCCAGAGATGGTGGGAGAGCACCTCTCACTGTGCTGATGGCCATTCGGGTAGGATGAGTTCAGTGTGGATTCTGAGCAGGATATAAGGCTGTGCTAACGGATCAGCGTTGGGATCTTCCAGAGATGGTTTCTGGGGCAACAGTGATGATAAAAGGCCAGATTTTCATGCTTCACAGGGCATTTCCCAAGTCACTGTTGTCCCATGACAGCTTTCCTGGCAGGTAGGAAAGTGCAAGTGGCTCAGTCATGTCAAACTCTTTGTGACCCCATGGACTATACAGTCCGTGGAATTCTCCAGGTCAGAATACTGGAGTGTGTAGCCTTTCCCTTCTCCAGGGGATCTTCCCAACCCAGGGATGCAACCCAGGTCTCCCGCATGGCAGGTGGATTCTTTATCAGCTGAGCCAGCAGGGAAGCCCAGGTAGGAAAAAGGGTTTGTATTTCTAGGCTAAGAAGATAGACAGCATATGAAAAATCAGAGACATTACCTTGCCAACAAAAGTCCATCTAGTCAAAGCTATGGTTTCTACAGTAGTCATGTATGGATGTGAGAGTTGGATCATAAAGAAAGCTGAGCAGCAAAGAATTGATGCTTCTGAACTGTGGTGTTGGAGAAGACCCTTGAGGGTCCCTTGGGCTGCAAGGAGATCAAACCTATCAATGAAGCTACTACTTCATACTATTGTTCCAAGAATCAGAGGAGATATTAAGTGACATGTCTTATAAAGCCCCAAGCTCTAGAATAGATGTGGGCAGATTCTACCTCTGTTGTTTGTTATGTGTATTCAGGGTGGTACAGGGTCTTGGTGGCAACACTTTCTACTTCTGCCCCATGAAGGGAAGGTCCAGAGCAGTTTCCCAGTGCTCAGTTGGTTCTTTTTTTGACACACAGAGCAGCTGGCCCAGCCCCGTGTCAGAGTGAGCACCAGGATTAGTGGGAACGGACACTGTCTCATCATCCTGACGTGCATGGCAGAAAGCAGAGGAGGCGCTGTGACCTACAGCTGGACACCTCTGGGACCCCAGACTGCTGTGTCCCATGGAGGGTCTGTCCTCAGTGTCACCTTGAGGCCTCGGGACAGCACTCTGAACTTTACCTGCATGGTCAAGAACCCAGTCAGTAACAGTAGCTCCCTTCCCATCTTGGTGCCACCTTCATGCACAGGTACCTGGAATCCAAGCATGTACCCTGCTTGACAGCTCTGAAATGGAAGGTGGAGGAAGGAGTCTGGTCCCCTTCAGGCCCCGAGGACAAAAGCAAAGAGTCAAGAGACAATGGGTGGGCCAGGGTGTGTCCGAGTGATGGGGAGAGGGAGGAGACCCTCTGGAGTTGAGGGGGAGCCTGGAGGGATCTGGGCAGGAGGGGCTGGCGGGACCTGTGGCTGCCCTGAGCGGGCAGGGAAGCCCTGATGCAGAAGCTGTGGTTTTCTCTCTCCATCTGCAGGGCCAGGAATCCTGGGTGGCGAGGAATCAGTAGGGGAGACAGTGATCGGCACCCTTGGGAAGTCAGCCACTCTGCCCCTGGAGGTCCCAGTGGGGCAAGAGGTAGAAAAGGTTACCTGGAGCTCTCGAGGCCTTGTTGCTATTTTGCAACCAGGACCAGCAGGGGAACCAATCCTGGTTGCTGGGACTCAGGGACCCTACAATCAGCGACTGAGCATCCCCCGCCACAACTACTCTCTTCAGATCAGCTCCCTGAGGCTGCAGGACTCCGGCCCCTATCGAGCCTGGATAACTCTGCATAGTCCCCCAATTAACATCACCAAGGATTTCATCCTGCATGTCTATGGTGAGGGGGTTAGAGGGCTTATGTTTGAACTTGACCTTCCCTCTCAGCTGTTTAGCCAGGCTGGAGCCTTCTCATAGCTTGAACCTTCCCTTCTTGGCACAGAGAGACTGCAGGAGCCCAAAATCACAGTCAGCTCTCAGATCATGAAGGATGGGACCTGCTTCATCACCCTCATCTGTTCGCTGGACCAGCCTGGAGAGGATGTTCAGTACAGCTGGGACCCCCGAGGCCAGGGGGCAATTGTGTCACATGGGGGCACCACTCTCAGTGTCTCCTGGCGATTTGGGGTCAGCGACAGCTATCACTGTACAGTGAAGAACCCCATCAGCCAGAGCTCCAGCTCCATCCCCGTCAGGCCCCTCTGCTCAGGTAACCGCTTGCTTCTGAGAACCCTTCTCTCCCAATCCAGATTCTCAGCATGCCTGCCTGCCTTCCTCGGGGTTCTGGGAATGATTGAAGAAAAGGAGGGCTGGATTAGTTTGCAACAGGGAGCATCTCTGGGGTGGCAGGAGGTGAGAACTCTGGAGCTCTGCCCACCTTCTGTCGGCCTAGGTGTGCAGCAGGCTCAGCTGGGTAATGGCCTGGGACTCCCCGAGGAAAGCTGCTTCACTCACCACATTCAGTCCTGCAGAGCCCCTGGAGGAGGGGCCCCAGACCTCCTTGCCTGTGTCCTCCTTACTTATGAAGCTTCTGCCCTTCTCCTTGCCTGTAACTGCCCTGAGAAGGCAATGGGGCTGTGTTCCTCTGGTGGGCAAGGGTGGCTTCTCCTGGCCTCCACAGGCCACGGCAGGAAACCACCTGAGTCCCAACACACCTGTCCCTCTCGTCTTCTCCACTGACTTCTGAAGCGGTTGTCTCTGCTTCCTGTCTCTGGTTCCTCACCAACTTCTTGTGGCTGGTTTGTCCCAGTGGTGTCCTGATGGCTGAGCTCATGGGTTACTCCTCAATTGTTATCCTTGACCTGCTTTCTTCAGCCACTGAGCAGCTCTCTCCTGGACTTTTTCTCTCCAGTCACCGACCTTTTCAGGAATGATGCTGTCCTTTGCCCAGGCCTCTCCCTGCATCTCTTCTTTGCTTCCTGTTGCCAAAGGGAGCAGTCAGTCAGTCAGTCAGTTCAGTCGCTCAGTTGTGTCCGGCTCTTTGAGACCCCACGAGTCGCAGCATGCCAGGCCTCCCTGGCATTACTTAGAACTCTTATCTTCCCCATGCTACCTGCCCTTGTCCACACCCTCCTTGCTTCACATATTCTTCAGCTGGTCTCCTAAAGTCTCTCCCTTCCCAATCACCCTCCTGATTGTGCTGCTAGGGGAATTCTAAATGAAAGAAATGCTTGTGTTTCTTTCCTGCTTAAAACACTATGGTGTCTGCCCAGTATGTAAAGTATAAATATTTTAGCACCTCTTTGTTCATAAGCAACACACATTTACAGAGCATTCTTGTGACCTATGTTGTTCTAGTCATCGAAGATACGGTGAAGAAGAGGTCTGGATAAATTTCCACCCCTTGGGGAACTCACAATCATCACCATCTTTAGCTAACTCTAGTAAATGACTTTAGAAGAACACTGAACATGCTGTAAAATGGCCTTTGTGCATGTGTCTGTCTCCTCAATTGAATCATGACAAAGCCCATACTTACCTTTCTCTGCACCTCCAATACCCAGCTTGTAATGGATGTTTATACTGTGAATTTGACAAGTATTTAAGGGCAGTCTGTGCTGGGTGTAATGGGGCACAAGGAAAAAGGATAATTGGTTTCAGACATTAGCATTCTCCCTCCCTATGGGACCTGGAGAATATTTCAACTCCATCCCCAGATACAGCTTCCTCAAGGGGCTTCTAGCCTCACCCTGCACCTCTTACTTTTCTTCCTGGAAAACTCCTCCCCCTGTTTCTCTGTCTTCCTATTTCTTTCCTTCTCTTCCTTTTACCCAACTCCTAACCTGTGATCATTGTTAATTCAGGTTCCTTCCTACCCTGCTGCCTGAGGAAAGAGTTTCTTCTCTTTTTGATCCTGGGAGCTTTGCAGATTAAATAGATTTGAACTTGACATGTGGAAAAGCCAAGAATAGGAAGTGAAAAGAAGGTCACTCTGTGAAACACAGATAAGGAAGTCTACACAGAGAAAGAAAGAGGAGTGTGACCTGATACCAGAATCTCCAGGTGTGAGAAACACTTGTGCTGATTAAAGCATGAAACCGGTTTTGTTTGCAAACTGAGTTCAAAGCAATGAAGAAACAGCTACATATTTTCTGTTTAAAGCCATCTGCTTATGTTTTGTTTAATTGTGTTTTAACATGTTCAGAAAGAAAAGAGGCTTATTCAATTTAGGAAAAAATGAATGATTTGAAATATAATATATAATGATAATAAAATTGTTAAATATTGTGCATAGATATTATTTTTTGTTAAAATTTATGTAAATGGGCTCAGAGTGCCCAGCTTCAACTTAAATTTTGTCTCCTTGGAGCATTCTTTCACCACCTTATTTAAGCAAATCTCCCTGGATCATTGTACCCAGTTGGTTTTGTCAAATTATCACAATTTGTAAGTATATATTAATTTGTTAGTTTACTTGTTTTTTGTCTGTCTCCCCCACAAGACATTCAGCCATTGAGGGTTCTTGGCTTATGGTAGATATTTTAATATATATATTTTTAATCATATGAATGACTAGATGGATCAGAGTTGAGAACATTCTCTTTAAGATTTGAGGACTATTAGGAGGTTTCATAAAAATTGGAGTCCTATATTATTGTGTGTTTTTTTCCTTTCTGCTTTTCATAAAAGGAAGAAGAAAATGGAATCTTTAGCCTAAAATTTCTTTGAGTGTTCAATAGCTAGCAAAAGAAGGAAGTTGGAGCTTTTGACAGAAAGCTGCTTTGAAGTGCTAAATAGATTGCTCTAGAGTTTGAACCATGTGCAAACAATGGAGTCAAAAGTATAATTTAGGTGAGAGAATGACCCTGAACATCTCTTTCTTCACTCTCAACTGATTACTTTAGTTCCTACTTCACTTACTATGGGGATTGGCATACTCCATCCATTACAAAGATTCTAGTAAAGTAGTTGGTGATATATCCTGAAATATAAATAGGTAGCCAAGAACAGAAGATATTTGAGGAAAACTGTGAAAGAGAGTCTCCAAACAAACAGAATCAATTAAAAAAAGAAAAAAGAAAAAAAACGAAATCAAGAGAATGCAGGGAGCAGGAGAAAAAAAAAATAACAACCAAATTTGTATTTAATATTCTTAGAAACATGAGAAGATATTACATTTTTAAAAAGGAATAGAATGGAGCATAATAGAGTAGGAAGACCCTGAACTCTCTTCCTCCCATAAAGAAAGAGAGAAAGTGACGTCGCTCAGTTGTGTCTGACCCTTTGCTACCCCGTGGACTGTAGCCCACCAGGCTCCTCCATCCATAGGATTCTCCAGGCAAGAATACTGGAGTGGGTTGCCATTTCCTTCTCCAGGGGATCTTCCTGACCCAGGGATCTACTCCAGGTCTCCCGCATTGCAGGCAGACACTTCTACCTCTGAGCCACCAGGGAAGCTCATGGGCACACAAATTATAACTATTTACAGAGAACTATCAATGAGAAGGGGCTTCCCTGGTAGCTCAGATGGTAAAGCATCTGCCTACAATGTGGGAGACCTGGGTTCCATCCCTGGGTCAGGAAGACCCCCTGGAGAAGAAAATGGCAACTCACTCCAGTATTCATGCCTGGAAAATCCCATGGACCAAGGAGCCTGGGGGGTGCAGTCCATGGGGTCGCAAAGAGTCGGACACGACTGAGCGACTTCACTTCATCAATGAGAAAAGCTGGAAGACTAGCAGAAAAGATTTTCTACAACCAAAGAGACAAAGAAGTAGCCATAGTGAGACACGATATAGTCAAGACCAGTATCCTCAGGTAGACCATCCACAAATGGGAGGACAATTGCAATTACAAAGGTTCTCCCCAGGGAGTGAGTGGTCTGAGCCCCATGTCGGGATTCCCAGAGCAGAGGTCCTGCCCTGGGAAGATGAGCGCCCAAATGTTTGGCTTTGAAGATCACTGGGGCTTACTTGTGGGAGAGCCAGAGAGCTGTGGGGAATAGACACTCCACTCTTTAAAAAAATTTTAAATTTTACTTATTAATTTTTATTGAAGTATAGTCAGTTACAATATTGTGCTAGTTTCAGGCATACAGCAAAGTGATTTATCACCCGCTACCTTCCCTTCTCATTTGGTAACCAAAAGTTTGTGTTCTATGTCTGTGAATATGCTTCTGTTTTGTAAATAAGATTTGTGGTTTTCAGAGGCGATAAGGTAGGAGGAGGGAGAGTTGGATGAACTGGTGTTTAAAAAGTACAAACTTCTAGTTATAAGATAAATAAATATAGGGATGTAATATACAGCATGATAAACATAATCAACATTGTTGTAGGTTACATGTAAAAGTAGTTAAGAGGATAAATCCTAAAGTGACATTTTTTGAGGTCACATATTATGAACCCCTACTGGCAGGATTCAGAGTTCTGAAGGCACAGAAAAAGTGGAATTGCTAGATTACTTGATTGCCTGATGTGTTTGACCATATTAAGCTAGATTTTACAAGGAGAAGAAAGAAACGATCGGCTCTAGGAAAAACAAAGAGCCATCAGAAAGGAAATGGAGTCATAATGCTTTATGTGACTCAAATGTGAGTATATGTTGTCTTTTTTCTTCTTTTTTTTCGTTTATTTTTATTAGTCAGAGGCTAATTACTTTACAATATTTTAGTGGTTTTTGCCATACATTGACATGAATTAGCCATGGATTTACATGTATTCCCCATCCTGAAACCCCCTCCCACCTGCCTCCCCATCCCATCCTTCTGGGTCATCCCAGTGTACCAGCCCTGAGCACTTGTCTCATGCATTCAACCTGGACTGCCGATCTGTTTCACACTTGATAATATACATGTTTCAATGCTGTTCTCTCAGATCACCCCACCCTCGCCTTCTCCCATAGAGTCCAAAATTCTGTTCTGTACATCTGTGTCTCTTTTTCTGTCTTGCATATAGGGTTATCGTTACCATCTTTCTAAATTCCATATATATGCGTTAGTATACTGTATCGGTGTTTATCTTTCTGGCTTGCATCACTCTGTATAATGGACTCCAGCTTCATCCATCGAACTGATTCAAATGTATCCTTTTTAACAGCTGAGTAATATTCCATTGTGTATATGTACCACAGCTTTCTTATCCATTCATCTGCTGCTGGGCATCTAGGTTGCTTCCATGTCCTGGCTATTATAAACAGTGCTGTGATGAACATTGGGGTACACGTGTCTCTTTCAGATCTGGTTTCCTCAATGTGTATGCCCAGGAGTGGGATTGCTGGATCATATGGCTGTTCTATTTCCAGTTTTTTAAATAATCTCCACACTGTTCTCCATAGTGGCTGTACTAGTTTGCATTCCAACCAACAGTGTAAGAGGGTTCCCTTTTCTCCACACCCTCTCCAGCATTTATTGTTTATAGACTTTTTGATAGCAGCCATTCTGACTGGTGTGTAATGGTACCTCATTTTGGTTTTGATTTGCATTTCTCTGATGAGTGATGTTGAGCATCTTTTCATGTGTTTGTTAGCCATCTGTATGTCTTCTTTGGAAAAATGTCTGTTTAGATCTTTGGCCCATTTTTTGATTGGGTCATTTATTTTTCTGGAATTGAGCTGGAGGAGTTGCTTGTATATTTTTTAGATTAATCATTTGTCTGTTTCTTTGTTTGCTATTATTTTCTCCCAGTCTGAGGGCTGTCTTTTCACCTTGCTTATAGTTTCCTTTGTTGTGCAAAAGCTTTTAAGTTTCATTAGGTTCCATTTGTTTATTTTTGCTTTTATTTCCAATATTCTGGGAGGTGGGTCATAGAGGATCTTGCTGTGATTTATGTCGGAGAGTGTTTTGCCTATGTTCTCCTCTAGGAGTTTTATAGTTTCTGGTCTTACATTTAGATCTTTAATCCATTTTGAGTTTACTTTTGTGTATGGTGTTAGAAAGTGTTCTAGTTTCATTCTTTGACAAGTGGTTGACCTGTTTTCCCAGCATCACTCGTTAAAGAGTTTGTCTCTTTTCCATTGTATATTCTTGCCTCCTTTGTCAATGATAAGGCGTCCATAGGTACGTGGATTTATCTTTGGACTTTCTATTTTGTTCCATTGAGCTATAATTTTGTCTTTGTGCCAGTACCATACTGTCTTGATGACTGTGGCTTTGTAGTAGAGCCTGAAGTTAGGCAGGTTGATTCCTCCAGTTCCATTCTTCTTTCTCAAGATTGCTTTGGCTATTCGAGGTTTTTTTGTATTTCCATACAAATTGTAAAATTATTTGTCCTAGTTCTGTGAAGAATACCGTTGGTAGCTTGATAGAGATTGCATTGAATCTATAGATTGCTTTGGGTAGTATAGCCATTTTGACAATATTGATTCTTCCAATCCATGAACACGGTATATTTCTCCATCTGTTTGTGTCCTCTTTGATTTCTTTCATCAGTGTTTTATAGTTTTCTATGTATAGGTCTTTTGTTTCTTTGGGTAGATATACTCCTAAGTATTTTATTCTTTTTGTTGCAATGGTGAATGGTATTGTTTCCTTAATTTCTTTCTGTTTTCTCATTGTTAGTGTATAGGAATGTAAGGTATTTCCCTGTGTTAATTTTATATCCTGCTACTTTACTATATTCTTTGATTAGTGCTTATAATTTTCTGGTAGAGTCTTTAGGGTTTTCTATGTAGAGGATCATATGTTATCTTAAATATTGAATATTCATTTAACATAAAGGTATGTCACAACTATCCTGGTCGAATTTGTGGAAAGTTTTTTGTGTTGTTAAGGGCTATAGGGGGGATGTGGGGTGGCAGTGAGCAAGGTGAAGAAGGGTAGGGTACAATACAGCGAAATACCCATTCCCATAGCATGAAGTCAATAAATAGTGCCTAAACTCAAGAAATAGCAGGGCTGGATATATTATTTCTGTATATCAAGGGAATAGAAGAAACAAATTA